TGGATATTTAAAAAAAAAACAATTATAAAAATGCAATTTATATGACTACATAAATCATGAATTGTTTTACCGTTATATTTATAGTTACCATTTCAATGAAGAGTACAAAAATTTGAATTAAAATAACAAAAATATTTGTGCAAAATTTTCGAATTATGCTAACTTCTACCTATGTCTATCTTTAGAAAAGATAATGATTGTGCAAAAAAATCTTTGTGACATAGCTTCACCCCTTGTGGTGTTACGTTATAGCGTTCGCCCCCAACCACTTTATAACTTCTCTTTTTCTCTATTCTTTTCCCCGCAGCGCAGTATGCTTCTGAGGAAAACTCTCAAGTATGAGAAAAGTTGTCGGCTATATTTCACGGACGAAAGGAAAGGAAGGGACGAGGGAAAAGATCCGGTGTCATCTTGGCTGCTCGTTAATTTTTTCTGTGATTTATCGGGATTCCCCAAGTGAGTAATGACAGACTTTTTGTAAATTTTTGGTATTAGATTCTCTGTTCAGCTATGATATATAGACCGATAAAATTTCTCACTACTGACATATACCAATCTTTTTTCATCCTTTCAAAACATTCGCAACTAACGTAAGAAATATACACCACAGATTTTCTTCGAACAAAACTTTACAGTTACCAATAATTCTTTAAATTCCAAAGAAACTTCAAAAATTAATCCACGCTGATTTATCTCTCAACGATCCGTCTATTTTCTTATCTGCGATTCACATACTGTTCTAAAATTTTTCTATTAAAATCCATCTACAGTGTCCTCAACGATACGAACGTGAAATTTAGTTTTCAAACCGACCAATAAGAAGAAAGAATAAAAAAAAAAAGAAGAAGAAACATCGACTTTTTCCACACTATAACTCCCTTTTTTTTCGATCGTGTCGCGAAATTTGTTTAAACGGGCTTCAGCGACGAGAGATCGTTTAACGACGTGTAACGCTTTTTAAAAAGGCGAGATTAACGAGCCCGGTGTCGACGTAACGGGGAAGAAGGAAGCGCGGGCACGGGCAAGCGCCAAGGTGCATCGTCGTCGGTTGCGGCGGAAGGGCTGGTTACACAAAAGGTGGAACACTCGAGTAGCGAAGTGCGGAAAGCGAGAGAGGTGGCATGCATATTCAGCTGGGAGAGGAGGCACGGACGTAGTCATAGGAATAATAAAAATTCGAGGGTTGAAATTATTTAGATTTATGCCCGCTCTCTTGTCCCGGTGCCGGGCGGTGACGAGAAGCGATTCGATTCCGGGGAACAAATTTCATGCATTATTCAGGACTCGCCGCAATGCACCCCAGTCAATGGAACCGATCCTTTGGAAAAAGTCGTTTTTAATCTCTCGTCGCGTTCCAATAATGCACATGCACACCCACCCCCTACCCCTCGTACTGTTCCTCTCGTGGCCGCTTTCACCCCTTTACGAATGGAAACCGTGTTTTCTGCCTTTAATGTTGAACGCGAACGATAAATCGCGGGGGGGGGGG